TCATCGGCCGCGCTCGCATTACTAATGCACCCCCGCCAGCCTCCCGGCTCCATCCTCCTTGCAGCCTCATCCACCCTATGCATGGGGATGGAGCGGGAGCGCCCGCATCCCGCATCCCTGCTGCGGATCCCTCCCGCTCGCAGCCCGCGGAGCGCTCGGTGTCTCCTGCTTGCCGGCCCCAGCCCTTCCCCTCCGCACTCTCCCTCCTTGCTCTCCCACACGGAAATAGAGATGAGGACAGGGCTCGGAGCCCCTGCTCCAAGAACAGCACCCGCTTGCACCGCACAGGCAAAAGCAGCGCAGGAGCCGCTGCCAGGCTCTGCTTTTCCCATCAGTAAAGCCCAGGAGGCAAAGACAGACCGCAAACAGCGCGGCACTCGGAGCGAGGTGGCTCTGCTGACATTGCCGGCCTCAGCACGCATCGTGCAAGGTCTCTTTTATCAGATTTGCAGCTTGTGATCTGAAACAGCCACCCAGCTACTTCCTAATAATTCAATATTTATGTAAACAGCAACTTTTGCTGCTGGAGCAAATCGCCCCCCCCACCCCTGAGTACATGCGTGAATTACAGCACTGGGTCCGTGAGGGGCCAGGATCGCTGTTATGAAATGATGTCACATATGCAGATGTGGAGTGATTTTATCCTAAGATGAGCAAACGGGCTTTCCAGGGCAAACATGACTGGCTTCACGCTCCATTACCATTATATTTGCTATTTTGTTTTTTGAGGCATAACCAAATGTGAGTGGGTTCCTCACGCCAGTGCTCAGCCCGACCCTGAGCCAATCTTGTTTATCTATCCATCCATCTCGCGTGTTTGCGGGCTGGGATAACGCAGCGGTTCTCCCTGCCGGCAGTGCTGGGAAGCCTCCCGTGCCACACGCGGCATCCGAGCACGGAGCCGGGCGCGTTTTTTTGGCGGGGGGAGGGGGCGGGAAGGGGCCCTGCCAAGGTGACCCCTCGCAGCCAAGCCCGGCTCCTCCTGCCCGTCAGGATGAGGATGGAGGAGCGCAGGGATGCGGGCGAGGGAGCACCGGGATGCAGGTGCAGGGGCTCCGGGATGCGGGCGCTGCTCCGCTGCCGGCACCACCCAAGGCCTCGCGCCTGCGACCGGGCAGAGCCTGCTCTGCCAGTCAGGGCTCCAGGAGCACCAGGAGCTGCCTCCCTGCTCCTGCCCCTGGGATTCCCCCCAGGATCTGCCCAGCCCTTGGGATCGCCCCTGGGATCTGTCCAGCACAGGGACCCATGCAGAGCCTGTGCAGGGCGATGTCCTGGCCGCTGCCTATCCCCCACACATCCCAGTGGACTCCCACATCCCGCACAAGGATCCCACCAGCCTGGCCAGCCCTGGCCCTGCTCCCTGCAGCCCTGCAGGAGAGGCCAAAGCATGAGGCTGGACCAGGAGATGCTCCCTGCCCCAAGCCATCCGGGATGGGGCTGCCGGCGTGAGACCCCTGCCCTCCTCTGTGAATCCGGGACTGGGCAGCCCCTCGGAGGTTCCCCAAATGGCACTAGGAAAGCAAGGCTCGAGTTCCTGAGGGTCCTCTGGACCTTGACAGGGACAGAGAGAAGCCTGACAGGTTGCAATGCAGAAGCATCAGCAGAGCCAGAGGTGTCGGAGCCTCCTGGTCCTTCCTAGCGCATCCCTCCTCATCCCAGCGCATCCCAGCGCGTCCCTCCCCACGCGGCCAAGGTGCCCCGGCCGCACCTGAAGTCGCTGTAGGGGTGGATGATCCAGGCTCCCGCCGACTTGACGCGCTCCTGCTCCCGCTCCACGGCCTTCTGCGAGCCGAACATCCGCAGCGAGAACTTGTTGACGCCGGGCTGCAGCATGGCCCCGAACTGCCGCTGCATGAAGCTGGCCTGGCTGCCGCGGGCCTCCTCGCCCACC